TCCCCCTTCTTCCACACTGGAAGTCACACTCTCTGCAGCGTCCCCACTTCTTCCACACTGGAAGTCACACTCTCTGCAGTGTCCCCACTTCCACAGTGGAAGTCACACGGAGGGCGCTCTTCATCTCCCTACCTCACAGAAGCACTCCCCTGCACCCGTGGCACCTTGCAATGGCCATGCCACATTTCACCCATGGTGGGCACCATGGGAATGCAGGAACAGACGCCAAGTTTGCCAACAAAGCCGCTGGATTGAGTGTGAGATGAGGCTCGCATCAGAGGCCCTTTCTTCTGTCCTTGCTTTGAACTTGTCTTAAGGCCACCGAAGCAGTGCAGTTCTGATTCTGGGGTATAGGGCCATGTGTGCAGGCCCAGGGAATGAAGCCGCAAAGGACAGGGATGACGAGGAGAAAGCCAACTGTTAGAGGGTGGGAGGCTAGCCTTGGCCTGGGGAGAACTCACAGCCAGAACTCCCAAGTGATCCAAAGCAGCATTCCCACAGACCCCTGCATGGGAGTGTGCACAGGAGTGTTCCTCACACTGCCGAAGGTGAGCGAAAAGCTGTCTTTGTCTGCATGACGCAGCTTAGAAACAACGCATTCACGGAGACTCAGAACACAGTGTTAGGTATGCAAAGTGAGCGAAAGGCTCCGCACTGGACAACTGTCATAAACTGAACAAAGCAGAAGCCTGGATAACTAAACAGATCAGTGGCTTTGGGGCCTGGAGGGAGGGTAGTGTGACTGTCCTGTCACACTGGGATGGGGGGCACGTTGCCATATGATGGTGGGAACTTGCTAAAATGTACAGTTGGAGGAGGTAGTTCATGCCTTAATCCTAACACCCAGGAACAGAGACAAAGGATCACAAGTTTCAGGTCTCATACAGCTGGCTGCAAAGTGAGACCCTTTCTCAAATAGACAAACCTCAACACAACCACCACCTTTGGACCCTGGAGGAAGTCGGGGGGTGGTGGTAGAAGAAGTGCAGTGAGACTCAGGGACAGCTGTGGAGACTGGAAGAGAAAGAACAGAAATGCAGTCATGTATCCATAGTGCCGAGAACCTTAAGTGCCCCCAAAGTGCTGTAGCAGGCTGGCCCCTCTGTTCCAAGACCCTGCCAGGGCTCACGATAGTCTACCGAGATGACAGGCCAGCAAAAGAGATAGTGACAGGAAGTGGGTGTTGAAGGCAAGACTTGGCCTGGAATTGCAAATCACAGTCCAGGATGGAGAGGCAGATGCTTGAAACACAGGTGGTGGAGAACCTGAGGGCACCCAGGTCCTGAGGAGCCCAGCAGCAGGCTGGGAGGGAGGGGAGATGCAGCACTCCTGAAGACTGGGTGCAGTAGGAACCCTAAGCATTCAGAGGGGCACCCATCAGACTCCTCCATGTGGTCAAGAATACCTACGCCTTTGACAAGTGTCCTGGGCACATCACCAGACAGGTGAGAAGGGCACCTAAGTTGTGTGTGTGTGGGGATGACTGC